CTATTTATATCCAGATGAGCCTGCCTTCCATATGCCGAAGAGGAATCTTATGGGGACAGCCACCCCGAGACAGGCAGCCGCTGCATTCGAGGCTTGACAGAGCAGCACCGGTACTCAGCGCCTGCCGATGTCTATGAATCGTAGACTCATTGCATGCGAGGGATATGCGACAAAGTACTAAACATGACTGCTTTAATAAACACACCATGGCTATATGCCCCAAACATTATGGTGCCCTGAAATGGGGGGGGGGGGGACTGTCTTTAAAAAGTGCTGTAATTTCTACATGGATAAACCGAAAAGTATGCAAATAGCTTTACATTAAAGTCTGGAATGTGCACTTTAATCACATCTGAGCTGTTTGATGTTTGAGTTTTAAACTGCGAAGCAGAGGGGTAGACCATGGGAAAACATTTCTTTGTCCCAAACATTATGGAGGGCCCCTTTATTCTGTGCTCTTATGTTGTATGTATTGTCTGATCCTGTCCATATCTGCTGCTGTAACAACGAAATTGCCTTTTATGGGATTAATAAAGTTCATCTCATCTTACTATCTAATGTAATTTAAGTGCAGAAAATCAATTCAAGTAAATGTAGGAAACCTGTAGGAAAAGTACAAAATTAATTTGAGTTTTACAAAAATATGTCATTTGAAATTGTGTGTGCCATTTATACATTTCGATCTCCTTAGGACAAGTCATCACATTTTAGGCATTAAATAGATATTTCCCAGATATTTCCATCTGCCTTCATCGTGTGTGTGGAGAGTAAGGAGCGAAAACTGGAGCTCTGGTGCCATCAAATGGTCAAAAAATTATGGGATGGCCTTTAGCAGAAGAAAAATCTGAAGTGAATTAACGTAAAAATAAATCACAAAACGTATAAAATTGGAGTCAGTTTGACCCCAAACATGAGTACAGAGTGCAGGACTCAAACACTTGTTTTACCTGGTCCATAATCTAATAATCCATAATCAACATAAGACAATGAAATGGAGGTGCTTTCAACCCATCAATGTTATGAATATTAGAATGATTTAGTAAAGAGCAGGGGTTAATCTGATATGCAAAACGTACTCAATAAAACCCCCAAAAAAAAGTTCCATCATCCTTGCATAAATGCCCTACCTACCTAAGGGCAGGAAATTAGCAGAGACTGAGAGGATGACTTCATCTCTGGCATCTTGCATTTCCATTGATTCTCTCCCCAAAGCAACACCTCACCTGTCCTACAGCCACCAAGTGCAACACGTATTAAACAACATGGGCCACAATTTGAACAGCTAGCAAGACACTTTACAGGTAAAACACATTTACAGCAGAAGGTAAAGCTCATGTAACCTGAAATGTTTAAGGGAAACCCAGTTTCCCGATGTTCTGTTCAGCAAAAATGTGGACTGCCTGGTAAGGGGCTTGGAGGGAGCAAAAACATGGACCGACTGTGGGGAACACAGGTTTAAAGTGTGGATGCAGATCCCCATCCCCCGTGGCTGAGAGGGATACATTTTCAGAACACTAATCTGGATGAGGTTTGCAGTGTGGGTTGAATGCCAGCTGTATCATTTACAGTGTCAAGTACAAGGGGCACTATTACGTGCATTTAGAGGCAGCAGAATGTATTTTCAGCAGTGCTCCCCATCTGACTCTTAAGCTTGGACCCCACATGGAGATTATTCTCTTTTATGGGCTGCCATTCTTAACCACAAATCTTGGTTTCCCAGCTGCTAGTGGTTTCAGCATTTCATTGTGCAGGTGTAACTGCACAGTGACCCATCTGCTCCGCTTTCTGCCACAAATCCATTACCAACAAATCAGCAGCAGGGGTTTTTCCAGATGGACAAAGGCTCAGCCCTCAGGTGTTTATCCAGTTGGCACCACCTGTGTGCCAAACCTGTAAGCCTACTACGCTCTATAGCAGTGTTTTCCAATCTGGTCCTTGGGGACCCATAGACAGTCCACCAGGAGCTGGGAGGGAGCAAAAATGTGGACCGTCTGTGGGTCCCTGAGAACTGGGAATCAAGTCTCTATAGGTTGACCTATCATTTTGTAGGAGCCTGTGGCTTTGAGCTTTAGAAACAGTTATTAGTCACCCAAAGCAACAGGGGACATCCTGTTTCTGGGTATAATCAGTGGTGGAGGTAGAAAGAGGGTCGAATTAAGGTGGGACAATTAAAATACCATTTAAGCATATTAGTCAAAAAAGTTGAGCATCACTGTGTCGCTATTAGTGGTAGGGATTGGAGACAATGTTAACATTTCACACCTGGAAAAAGGACACGTGTAACCCCCAAAACTCTGATCACTGCATTGCATGGCACTGTACTGCACTGTAAGAGATCCTATCTACATTGAAATGTTTGATACGAGTGATATATATTCTATTGCCCAGTAAATTACAAGATATATCATTATCCGCTACACAGGGCATACATAAACGGTTTCCCAGAAACTTTTATACTACAGCAAATCTGATTGGTCAGAAGGGTATTGATTTCTGTAACAGCAAATAGTGCCAGCCACATCTATTATGATCTTCAATTACTAACGTAATGTGAAATTCCAGAAGTAGAACACAATTTCAAATTGACGGAAGCTACACAGAAATATTATATACTTTACTAGGTTCATGGTTAATAATCAATGTGCTCCTCCCTTTCGAAGAGACCACCCTACAGATCTCTTGGAGCCATGCAGAGCTAAGTGCTGATTGGAGGAGTCACAAAGCAGTGCTGGCGGCTGCACACTAGAGGGCGCTTGGCATATCAATGGCGATAACAGGATATTGTATATATTGTCACATTTAATTGCATGAGTGAAATGTACTGTGCTTACATTGTTCTTGCTGGGTATAAACAGGGCTGGATGGGGATTAAATTTTGGGGTCCCCATGGCCCTCATACCCATCCAGCCACTGGCAAAATGCCCGGGGGCCAGATGGTCAATCCAGCCCAAAATCAGCAAAGAGACAGTTTTAAGCCAAAATATTAAGAACAAATCACATGAGGTGAAGGAAAGCAAAAATCTAGGGTTCATCTGACAATTTTTACATTCAATCCTGCAAATATGAAAGAGAGCTTTTGAACAACAAGTAAAATAAGTCTAAACAGGCTGTAGGATCAAATAATACCCCAAGATATTATGTAAAATGGAAATCTAAGCTGATGTTAATGAAAACAGAAGACTTGAATAATCAAAGTGCTTCTCGTCTGCGTTTCGGCTGGTCGACCAGAATACGAAGCGTGAGCAGAGCTCCTGGACACTCGCAGACCCTTGTTCTGGGCACCAGCCCACACCAGCAGGTTGAGGCCGGTTGCCAGAGTCCTGGAAGCCGTCTCTCACAGGGCAGCAGAGAGCCAGGGCCCCCACATACAGAAATGAAATCCCCCTGTATTCCAGTGTTATCCTTTCGAATTCATTTTGAAAATGAATTTCAGGAATTAAAAAAAGAATCAGCAAACTGCATTTATTCAGGTCAGGGAACGCAATCTATGACAGATGACAAGGGGTTGCACAAAGGAGTCTGGCAGCGTAATGATAAGCTTGGAGCTTCCAGGAGACAGAGGGTCCACGCTTCATCCCTCCAACACACTGCCATATTGTACCAATAGCAAAAAGCTATTTTCTGTCTTTGCAGTTCAGACACATAAGGAAAGGTTTAAAAAACACAGGAGGAGCCAGAAGAGCTGCTGAGGGAAATGACCTTTCAGCCAACAAGTGAGATCTGCATCAAAGTACATCCCCAGAGCTGTGTCTCACCTGAGGAAGGCAAACACATCTGACTCATCAGAAACCTTTGCGTCATTTACAGAAAGAAAAACATCAAGTTACAAGAGCTAAAAATGCTCGATTGTCATGGTTACACTTACGTATATATGACGATTCTGCGTGGATTTGTTGCTTTACAATCATGGTTTGAACTGTTGTGGTCTGTGCACAGGTTTTGTGTAGGGGTGGGGGGCATTGAGGAGGGGGTTTTGAATGCCACCACTGCTCTCTGTCTGCAGTTTGCATGCACCTCTCTCTGATTTCCTCTTATAGTCCAAACACTGGCTGATTTATGTCTTTAAATTGCTTTTCCACTGGCATACAGGAACCGTGCCGTACCCGAGCCGTGCCGCAAAGAGAAACTATAGTTACAGCGCGGTTCCAGCTCGCTTCAGTTTTCCAGTGCAGACGGGTCGGCTCGGTAAAGGCCGGGTTTGGAGAGCGACAGTGAGGTAAAACCGAAGAGACGCTTATTTAATGTTCACTCGGTGTACATCATGATTTACTGTGTGCTAATTTCCACTAGCACGTTTGTGAGAATCACATCAAATTTTCAACCTGTCAGTTATCGGGAATGCACTGATACATCTCGATGAATAATGAATAACATATAGAATATACCCCTTTTACCTTCAGATCAGATAATCCATGAGCAGAACATTGGTATCTCTCTGCATTTCGATGGCGGTGACGCAGACAGCTCAGTTTGGTCATGCTTTCGGCCCTGTAATTGGGGCTGTGTCAGCGTGATTAAGGCTAAGGTACGGCTTGCATACTTGAAACTGGAAAATCGGCAGTTCCCAGAATGGATTGGTTGTTGGTGGCAGTGAGAAAGTGCCATAAGACTAATTAGGCAACTGCATGTGTTTGCATTATTTTCCTGTCACCTGCTGTCACCTGCTGCTTCTTTCCCCCACAAGAATGAATGTGTGCCCCCCCCCCCCCCCGTTTCTGGTTTGTTTTCATAATAGCCCTATTTTACCCTTTTTGTCCCAAATTGTATAAATGCTTAAAATAACAGACAACTAAGCATACCTTACAATTAAGAATCAAGGATCTTAGCCAATGAAAATGAAATAACAGCTACAGCTATGAAGCAGTAAGCATTTATAGACTAAAAAGTACATGGTAAGTAGAGATAACACAATAAGTCCATATATGCAAATGACGTACGAAGAAAAAACATAACCGTTTGATACTAATTCCTTCCCTGAAATTGCATTCCTTTAAACTCACCAGAACTTCCTGGGTTTTCCGATTCGGAAAGGTGGGCAGGGCATGTCTGAGGCCTACCCCACAGTGTTGGGGGAGTGCTCAGTGCGATGAGGCACGGAGTGCTTCTCCGTCAGGCCCAAAATGCCTAGGCTGATCGGCGTTCCTGCCGCTATGACCGGCGCGTGGCGACGCCAGCTGAGAAAACACGCCAGCTGAGAAAACACGCCCACTTCCCGCGCGGGAAAGCACTCGTCTTCACGGCGGCTTGCTACTTGGTCCCGGGCAGGTCACCTGTGCTTCCGTGCGAGGGCGGTCAAGAACGGAGGCTCACGCTTAACGCTCCCAGTTGCCCAGGTGCGACCCGGTATCACAGACGGCCATTTTTAGCGGCTGATCTCACCGAAGTGAAACATGAGGCGGTTCCACATTCCTCGGGAGACGCTGGAGCGAGTGCGAAGCCTTTACCTAAAACCGATTCCACTGCATGAACCGCCAGTGGCAGGCTGGGAGATCCCTGCTCGGCCACTGGGCAGTAGAGCGGGGATGTGGTCTAGCTCATGGCTGCACACGCTCTGTTGTCCTTGGGCTTCATGAAGCCACTGCCCCAGTGCAGAGCACTGCTCAGCATGCCCCCCCCCCCTCCCCCAAATGCTGCAGTGCCTGTTCTCGCGGAACAGGCGAAGCTGCAGATGCACTGAGCGGCTCGTTTGGGTTGGCCATCCCCACCAGTTTGCTCCCCGAACCCACATGCAGTGCCCAGTGGGTTGTGCAGTGCCCTCATGATGCCTTGACCACGGTTATGCTCACTCTTCGGCGGCCTCTGCGGTGCAGCACCGTCGCCCGTTGCTGTGGCAACGAGGCATCCTGCAGAGCCTGTACCGGAGAGGGTCCCTTCGTGGACTGCAGGGGTGTGGAAAGTGTTGTCCCGGTTTTCACAGACATCCCACTCGGAAGGAAACCTGCTCGCTACTGATTAGCCGGCCCCGATCCAGCTCATTACAGGTGAGTCACACAGAAACCTCTTAAAGAAATGAACGTCAAGGTGCCGAGGCTTAATCAGTGAACATGACGGGAGAATCAAGTCTGATGGGAGAGTGAAGAAGCACCTGTGGGACACAACAGGCTGGGAGAGCAGAGTAAACCCCCCAGGACGGCTGCTTTTGGCTCTTAGAGTGCAGATGGGAACATGATGAGGGAGGGCAGCCCAGCTTCTGCTGCCACGGGCGCCTCCTCCGCAAGAAAAAACCCGACTTTACACCTCGAATAGTGACCAAGTTGGCTACCTGCGTACCTGATACACTACACAACGTCTTTTTTTCACTATTTGATCAAGCTTTTCCTCCATAATCCATTACTTAAATATTGTTTTTTTGTATTTTCATGGCCTTAATTTGTATGAGAGGTGATAAAATGAAAAGCACTCACCACAAACTCCTGGCCCTGGAGAAGGTCTTGTCAACCCTGTAAAGACAGAATGGATGTGAGTAATTAAATCCGGAGGCCGCAGTGGCGCCCCCTGTCTGCCGTCCCCTCTCTCTGCGACACGAAGAGTGGTGTGCCACGTAAACAAGCATAGCGCCTACCCCACAGCCCGGAGCGCGATTGGCCGTGCGGACCTGGAAAACCTCCCGGCACCTTGGCCCGGAGGCGCCGCTCACAGCCCTGCTCCCATTGGGCGCCGCCTCCACGTTAAGTAACCGCGCAGCCATCTGCTGCCCCTGGGGTTGGTGAGAAGGGCGGGTGCAGTGCCGCTTCCTGTATGCCCGGCTGTGTAGCTTGGTCCCCCCCCCCCCCCTTGCCCTTCTTCCCTCATCCCTACTGTATGCTCACAGACGCACTACCCCCGCTCCAGTCCACACACTGCCCCACCTGCCCTCTTCAGGTCCTCATGAACAGCTGCGCAAAGCAGAAGCCCCACCCACTGTGATTACTGTCATTTAAAGCAGTGCTGCTTGTTCTATTCTATTACGAAAGTCGGTGCCATCACAGAGGGGCACTGGGCAGATTCCAGCACACCTGAGGACTTCCTGTAACCATCCCTTAAGTTATTATCATTCTTATTAAAGGCTGAAACCTGTGCAATCACTGGGTTACTGAAAACCTCCGGTTACAATGCTCCTGCGTGGCTATACAGTCACACTTCCAGTGCTACAGCTATTTAATAAGGACCAGGTGAACTCTGACAGAACATTGTAGACTGGTATGTATGTCATTTTCTGCCTGCTACTTGTGTGAATGAGTTTCAAAGCCAGAAACCATCCTTTCAAATCCAGCATAAATTATCTTTAGCATTTGCGCAAGCACATTGGAATGCTTCACCTGTCCTATCTTGCTCTCCACAGCAAGGGGGGGGGGACACAGCACAGGGTCAGCCAACATGTGGCACCCCTGGAGCTGGGGGTTAAGGGCCTTGCTCAAGAGCCCACAGACATGTGACTGTTCTGCAGAGGGTGGGGTTCAAACTAGTGATCTTCCAATCACAGGCAAAACCTGAACAGCGCTTTCACCTGTTGGGGGTGGTGGGGTTTAAGGACGTTGATAATAATTCGGGGGTCACAAGAAATAAAACCATACAGCAGATTCTACCAGCTTCCCAAAATACACAACCACCCATAGAACAGATGCTCAGCTCAGCTTGGAAACAAAACGATCTCCCTGCCCATTTTTTTCTTACTGTCTCATGTTTGCCTCCCCCCGGTCTGTCTAACCCAAATAAAGCCCCTGTTTAGTCCTCCCGCCCCCCTCCCCCGTCACAGGGATCTACTCTCTGCCCAGAATGCCGCAATTTTCACACCAGGATGAAAGAACAGCGATGGGAAACGGATAATATCCCAAAACCTGCGAGCACATTTGGATCAAGCCAGACAGTCTACGTGCAGAAGTCTTGCGGCCATCAATTACAGCTATGTGCAGAAAAACTGCAGCGATGAATGCGAAAAGATTCATGGGAAGAGGTTTTTTAGTATCCCAGCAACTAATGGATATAACCATTTAATATGAATGCCCCCAGCACTTCACCTATAACAAAACATAAGACAGTGCCGCGCCATGTTTCTGGTGTAATAACACAGATAAATTCGCAATCTAAAGTACTTTAACGAAAACTGCCTGATGCAACAGCAAAGCCATTAAAACTGCGTATTTTAGTTATTCTTAATCAGAAATCAATTACGTAAAATAAAAAAAAGATGAGCACAATCGTTTAATAAATGTGTGTACCGTAGCGAGGTCAAGTTTTTCTGCAAGTCGAATAACCATGAGCCATTACGGGGCACACCTGGGAGGGGCCAACCCTTTTGACCTCCGTATTTTAAAAATACTGGCTGCGCCCGTGGTCTGCCCCATTTAATAAATCTTGACATGCTTCTTGAACTTAGAACAATCATTCATTTAACGATGGTAAATCACAGTCAATCGCTGTTTGTCAGTAGATGGCGCTGTGGAGCCAATTATTTTTCCTGGCGTCAGAGACTCAAAAAAACAAAACAAAAAAAAACAAAGACATTACACCTCATGCATGAATACACGTTACATGTTAGCATTTCATATAATATAAAACAAGAACCTCTGTCAGCATAATGTTAGGGTTTGGAAATCTTTACAACTATTTAATAATACACTTCTCACAGCCTCATTGTCTGTAGATTAGAATCAAAATGAAAGTATCCTAAGTGATCAGTTGGTGTAAGCATAGTGAATTTGTATATATTCAAATTGGAAAGGATTATTTAAAAAAAGTCTTCTAAAGAATAGGTGGCATGGTGGTGCAGTGGTTAGCACTGTTGCCTCACAACTCTACAACCAGTGTTTGAGTCTCTGCCAGGGTTCCATGTGTGTGCAGTTTGCATGTTCTCCCTGTATCATCAAGGGATTTCTTCCAGGTACTTCAATTCCAAAAAGGCTTCATTAAGATCAGTCCTCTGCAACTGAGAAGGTACCAGAACACAGCAGAATCAAGTTCATTATGACATCACGCAATGAAAAAAGAGCATGTCATTAACTACAGGAGAAACAAGGACGGAGAATTAAATGCTGTTAAGATCCACCTGCAGACCAGAACAGTCCAAACAAACCAAGACCGAGTGGTTATTGTAGATAAGCTGCTGAACTGAGTGAGTCTGGTTTCCTAGCAATGCTTGGAAAACACCCCAGTCACCTTTAGCAAATTTACACCCCCGCCACATCCCACCGGTGAGATCCTTCCAATGATCAGGATGTTATGTTGGGCTGCTCACAAATAGGTGAGGGTCTTATAGAAATTCCTAAAAATGTTCCCTCAACCAGGGCTCAGGCTATGATGGGCATGAGGATACACTCCCTCCTGTTTAACTTCACTCATGTAAAGGTAAATCTACCAAGTAATTATAGACATTCATATTTATAACTAGTTCACTCATAATTAATTAACAAATAAGGCTCAAGTTAAACAAAAACTGCCTTTTAACGTGATGCATAACATTCAAGGTCCATAATGCACACAATTTAATAAATCTACCTAGGAATTAATTTAAAATACATGAAATCTGTTGACAAATTATGAATGAATCAGGTTTGGATAGCGATTGAAAAGTATTTCTGTTGCACATAAAAAAGCAGAACAGTAGAGTGGCAAAGCTTTCGCATCAGAGTGAAACGCAGGCCGTCTAACTGAAAGTATGTTTTGGCTGCTGACCCAGAACTTTTAAATGATGATGCCAGATCCTCATGTCATTATGTTATGCGGTCAGACTGGGCTCATTTGGGGGGGGGGGGGGAGAAGCTCATAGCATAGCCTTGTACACAAATCAGAGCTTTAAAGATGGCACATAAAGTGCGTCTTGGCTGTGCTGTCGATGAGGCAGGCGGATGGAGGCCCAGTCTACAGGTAAGCAGCACTAATGCACCGATGATTAGTGGCACCAGTGACCAATCACCCATTGTCTTGTTCTGCCTCAGTAATACCCCTCCCCTGTTCAGAAGACTCGTGGGACAGCCACACAACATCCTCTTTCCCAGAAAAAGGGTGTTTTCAAAGAAGGGGAACTGGGTCCGCAGAGAGAATGAGCCTCGGTGAGCCGAAGGGTGGGGGGGGGGCGGTTCCGGCTGCCCATGGAGGATGTGGGAAAGCGACTCACACAGATAAAGGTGTCGCTTTACATAGAGGAGAAAAGAGGACAGGGACCCTCACCAGCGATACCTCTTAGGCAAGCCAGACACTTGTCAGCTTGTCAAATCTCTCACTTCTCACACTGCTGAGATGAAAGTGCTGTTTTTTCAGAGATCAGAAAACGTCCAGGGGCTATCGATGGTTTTTTTTTTTGTTTTTTTAACACATAAAGCACAACATCTGGGGAGTTTCAAAATTTTTTATCAGATACCCATAAGAATTTTTGGGAAATGGGGGGAGCATCTTATCAGGGATGAGTTAAAACAAACAAACAAAGATCTTAAAGACAAGCATGATAAGTAGCTGTGGGGCTCATAGTAAAATGAGAATAAAATGCAGAACAAGTGCCATTGCTAGGAAAGTGAAGTACGAGCTCGCCGTTACTAACAGATGAGGGTTTATTTAAAGAGTGGGGGGTATTTCACATACTGCAGCAGTCATTCAAAACAGAAACACTCCTCACAGCTGGCAAATTTGTTTACCAAAAAGTGAAAAGCCTCAGACCATGTATCCAGTGAAATCTAGCTGTAAATTACCTAGAAACTCCTATGCCTATAAAATTTGAATTTTTAGTTCTGATTTTGCCAGGAAATAAGGATACACTGACAACGATGCAAACTTACAGTTAGACAAAGAGCAAACATCATTTTTACATATATTCTAGTCACATATTTATTTGAATATTGATTCAGCCTATTCAGTTCATTTCAGCAAGACATCCAGTAATCTCAGACCTGAAAACTAGACAGCAGTGGAAAGCAGATGTAATTAAATAGAAAACAGGGTGAATGAATAATGAATAGTCCATGAGTTTTCTTTGACCAGAAAGTACTGTCTGTACACCATGAACATCCAAAGACTGCAATTATATCCAAGAGGTCATTATTTCATTATTTTTGTTCCTAGTTGCTCCAAAGTGATAGAATGTTGGATTTTCTGACTTGTCTGACACATCCTTTAAGGCTGGATTTCAGTATTCCAGAATTTTTCAGTCCAAATATGCACATTAGGTCAGACTAGAACATGAGCTACAGAAGACCTGAGATGAGAGACCACTGCATGTATTACAGCTAATGGGGACTCGGGGAGCTGTGGATCTCTCACCACAAAGTCAGGGCTGCCAGCTCTCACGCATCTCATGCTCATGCAAGAAATCTTATAGACCATTTACAAGATAATAAAATCATTAACACACGTTAATGCGTGTGCATGTGTGAGCAGACTTGCCTCGATTGACAATCTCACTCCAGCCAGCTGACCAAAGCTGGCAACCCTGGGAAGGGGAAAAATGTAGGACACTGTCAAGCAGCCAAGGTCTCTCTCACTGGATCTTCACTGCCATAACAAAAGGCACATGCAAAAAATGTAGGACACTGTCAAGCAGCTAAGGTCTCTCTCACTGGATCTTCACTGCCATAACAAAAGGCACATGCACAACTTGCCTTGCCTTCCCCCTGTAGAGCTGCCACATGTTGACTCTTATCCTGGTTCACACCAACACAGCATATTGCGTCCCATAACAGGTCCACTGGGTGGCTGTCTGTGTCTGGGTGTGGGTACTGGTTCCCACTTCAAGGGCAACTCCAACTGCATCACCAACAGGCTAAGACCACTTGGCAAATCAACACATCTTACAATTTTATTACATATTTTGAAAGGCACTTATTAAAGGCTACAGTTATTGGCCTGTAATATTCTGACCAAATCCCATTATCAGACACAGCTTACTGTACTAAAATATGTATCCATAATTGAGGATGTGAGGTCCACCCAGTGGATCACTCAGCCCAGCATATCCCAAGTTTCATTGGGCAGAGGTAAAGTGGGTGTGTCCTGGCTAGGCGAATCATGAAGCGCTCCTCCTATCAAGGGTGAGAGGGGGAAGAGTTGGAGATGCAAATAAATTATCCATAGGCCAGACCGTCACATTTGACAAGACTTTCTTTTCGACCTACAAGGGCTGTACTTTCTTATACCATGAATTAGGACACAGCCGCTGGATCCTTCATAGCCCAACATATCCCAAGATTCACTGCGCAAACCTTTGTGGGAAGCAGCCTACAAAGGTTACATTGATTGTGTTTGAATTCAGGGGCTGCAACTCGACAGACCACATTTGAAGGAGCCGTCGAAATGGTTCAGCCTTGTCATGTATATGTGGCTTATTCGGTATTTGGCTGTGTCTGAATTCAGGGGCTGCATCCTTTGAAGGACATGGTCCATGGTTCGAATTATGGTTGGCTCCCCTGAAAATGACACAAGCTTCCTTAAAAGGCTCCCCTGGGACATTTAGGAGGAGCTCTAAAAAATCGCCCACTTTTATGTTATAGGTTATATTTTATTTTCCATAGATTAAGGTTCCTGAAATTTAAAAATGTATATGATATATGTCAGCGTTGCGTGTTTATTTGCTCAGTACATTCCATTTTCTGAACATCTGTTTCCACTAATTAACACAATTCGTATCCCTTCTTGCTGTGGCCATCCATGCATGGCGGCACTGCACTCAAACTGCTAGATTTACGTAACTACCTGAAAATCGGTTCAGAATTAATCGCGTTACATTTTGTAGAGAAGTCTGCATCTCCACTCCAACATTGCGGACGCGACAGCCAGCAGCAGCCAATGAGGAGTCTACGTTTTTATATCTATAGACCAATGAGGGATCCACGTTTTCTATAGCAAATGAGCGATCTATGTTTCATATCTATGGGCCAATGAGGGATCTACTTTCAAATCCATGGTCGTTGGGTGAATACGTCATCTAACATGGTAGCGTCCACAAAACCGCGCGTGTGAAGGTTTTATCAAATCTGGCTACGATACTTCGATCAGGGCGAAAAAACCTAAAATTAAGAGGTGTGCTTTCAGAATTAATCATAAATCTGGTAATAACTGTTCTTCATTATTTAAAGGCCGTCGACTGAGTAATTAAGACTGAGAACCGACCGTTTTAAATCGGCCGCTGAACTTTCGGAGCATCTCTACTGACTACCTCCTCAGTCGAAGCTTAATGGGAGACAGGATGGCAGAATTTGCAGGAGAAGATGTATCTGATTATCCTGACACGGATTGTGAAGAAGTAGAAGCACAGGCAGACGCAGACGTATTTTTGTCGAAAAATGGAACAATCTGTTGGTCCAACCGGCTAGATGAAGATGGAGTATGTCCAGGCAAGAAGCCAGCAGAGCGCAAGCTCATTTCAGGGCTAACAAGGATGGCTAGTTCTCAAGCAGGGGATATAGTATCTACTTTTAAGCTGTTCATTCCACACTCGATTGAAAAGATGATCATGGAAAATACAAACCTGGAGGGGAGGCGGAGGTTTGGCGATCAGTGGGTTGAGATGGATAGCACCGAGTTCAATGCCTACCTTGGTCTGCTGATTCTTATCGGACTGTACAAGTCAAAGGGAGAAGCTGTTGCCAATCTTTGGAATTTTGATACTGGAAGGCACATAATATCTGGCACAATGGACCTTGAGAGGTTTCGTGCTATCTCTGTGTCAATTCGCTTTGCCAAACACGAAACAGAAGTTGCAGCGAGCGCCGAAGACAAATTAGCACCTATCAGAGACGTATGGGAATTGTGGGTGGACAAGCTAAATTTGCTGTACAACCCTGATCAGGATGTCGCTGTTATCGAGAGGCTGATTCCGTTCAAAGGTAACTCACTCTGTTTATACATTATTATAACAGTTTATAGTATTTTATTTTTGGTAAGGCTTTACACCAGGGTACCTTCCGGTCATGGAGGGCCAGTTTGCCACACAAATTTTCCTGCTCAAACATACCTACTAAACCTGGCAGTTAGTGAGTTGGATAAGGTGTGTTCAGTGTTTTGTACTGAATTCGAAAAATTCTTATAGTATATTATAGGGCTGGGCGATGTTTGATATTAATGCAAACACCGCGTGTTATGCACTTCTGACATCGCAAGGACAGCGATCGTCAGCTGGGTTGAATTCGGGCTTTTTCAAACCTTCATATTGTCCGGACATTATAGCGCGGCGGGTTTAACTTTCACCAAATCATTTTTACTTTGTTATAGGACGCAAAACTCAGCAAGCGCTGTAAACTTAATGATTGTTCCTTCTTATTATCTAGTATATGTCTTTAAAAGTCTGTTTAAAGTGCATCACCGTTGCTTTTGCGTGAGCTCTGCATCCGTACTCCGAGGCAATCATTTTCATCCTTCACTTCCAGACAGGTTTGTCAGAAACTTATTTTGAACTCCTTTCGTTATAAATACAGTGGTACATCAGAACTCGAATTTAATCCGTTCAGAACTCCGGATCGAATCCTAAAAAGTTAGAGTTGTGATCGAATTCTCCCCATAAGAAATAATGGAAACCAATTAATTGGTTCCCGGCCCCCAAAAAATTACATTACATCTAAATATGTTTTTTTTTTTTTTTTAGCATTTAAACACAAAATGAACCGGATAAAACAAGAAGAGCATATACTGTACTAAATACATCTAAGCACATTTATCAAAACGATAATTTGTAAAGTAAGAAAATAAATGTATCCAAACAATGTGTCCTGCCCCGATCGTCCTCTCCTTCCGTGTGCCACGCCCCCTCGTTAACCCCGTGTGGAATCCCCGTGTGATCAGCAGTTTCTGGTTGTTGTCATTAGCCCTCTGTATTTCGTCCGCGTTTCAGTTAGTTTCCCCAGCCTAGTCATTGTATCGTCCGTCTGCGTTTTGCCTGCCTTAGCTGTAATTAAACCCTGTATTCCCCGATACCCTGACGTCTCCGTTCCGTCCCTGCTCCGCACGACAATATTATTATAATTAAATGTATTAATGGGTTATTATTAATATTAAAATAAGAAATCTTTATTTTAAAATGTATTATATAATAATTACTGTTACTGTCTACCATTGTCTAAATATGTATTCAGCTAGTGTAAACATGCAAGATGCTATCACAGTGAATGTGAGGCTTAGACTAAAGCGTTACCCTATGTTTCCGCTGAGAGACGTGCCGCGTGACTAATTTCCCCGCGTGTACAAGTTCTTAGGTCTGCATTCACGGTTTGACTTCTGAGATTCAGATCGAGTTCTAGGTAAAAAAAATTTCAAACTGGTTGGTTCGACTTAAGAAATTCGAGTTCTAATGGGTTCGAGAACTGAGGTACCACTGTATTCCAGTATGTATTGCAACATAATCTCATTGCGATACTTGAAAACTTTCCAATACCATGCTGCCCTGGCACATTACACAAAATGCTTTTTAAAATTTCTTTTCACGGCACCCTGATCATCATCTTGTTCTTCCAGCCAGACTGCAGTTAAATTTTGGGTCTCTTCATTTGTCCACGCGTCCATTATTATAACTTTTTTTATGTTGTTTTTATTGTTTTCTGAGTTTGTAACTTTTTTCAGTAAGCCTTTTGTACTGTGTTTCAGAGGCAGTTTGCAAGTCTCACCCCAAAGTACGGAATTACCAAAAAGCATCCCAATTGCTTTGCAAATTTTACTACTCAGACTTTTTGTACAGGTACAATACGAGAAGTCAATGCAGAAGGGGAAAGTACCTAATGTTCCATTGCAAAAGTGTACTGAGGCCAACTGGAGTTGCCAATCTGCATGTGTGACTTGGCACCCCATCTTAGGTTGTTCCCTGCTTTTCACCCATAGCCCACCCCCACCCCCAACAGGTCAAGCGGTTACATTAGACTGACATATCGCTGGATGGATATGACTGTTATATTTTATTAATGTGTATTACAGCTGTCATGTCTTGCTAACTAAATATATAATGAATGCAATGTTTAAGACATGTTAAGGTATTCTTACATGCTGCTTATGAATGTTCTATGATTGTGTAATTAATGTATTTCAGGAGCACTGATTGAAGGCTGAGGTTAAAGCATTACTACTTATTACACAAGTCATTTTTTTCCAGAATTTTTGTCTAAAACATTTAAGAAACTGATTTATTTGCTAGCAAATAAGTGTTCTCTTTATTTGTTCTTGCAGGTCGCTGTCATTTCCAGCAAAATGTGCCAAACAAGCCAGGGAAATATGCCATAAAATTATGGCTGGCCTGTGATTCCGTTTCCAGCTATGTCTGGACTGTAAAGCTGTACACAGGAAAGACTGCAGGAGAATCCGAGAAGAAGATTCGGAGTACGAGAGTGGTGCTGGATCTGACAAAGGGGCTGAAAGGTCACACTATCTTTTGTGACAGTTTTTTTGCCTCTTATGAACTTGCCCAAGAGCTGCTGAGAAGAAAATTATCAATGGTGGGGGCTGTGCGGCGTAACAGGCCGGAACTGCCGCGCGCTCTGCGCTCAGCCGAAGGCAGGCCAGTGCGCTCCTCCAGATCTGTGTACACCCCCAGCACCATACTTGTCTCCTACATACCAAGGAAAGATGTGAATGTCATCTTCATGAGCACCACCCACAAGTATCGTGGGTGGACCCACACTAAAAAGAAACCTCAGATCATATTGGACTACAAAAAGTCAATGAGAGTGGTCAACAGCCTGAAAAAATCCACTGACACCTACAGTTGCAGACGAGAGACGTCACGCTGGCCCCTTGCGCTGTTTTTTGACATGCTGGATATCTCACTCCACAATTCATTTATCATTTCGGGCAAGGTCAGGCCTACATCAGACACTCAAAATTTCAATATAAGACTGTTTTTGCAGGCGCTAGGAGAAGCTCTAGTTACTCCTGCGGCACAGCAGAGGTCACCTCTGTCCAGTAATCCCTTTGCTGGATCATTTGTGAGGGGTGTTAAACAGGCAGCCTCTGTATTCAATAACATAGAGGCGAGGGAAGTGACAGGGGGAAAGACAAGATGCCGGTTTTGCAAAGGTGGCGACGCCAAGACAATGGTGGTTTGCGACAAGTGTGGAGTATACATTTGCCAAAGGCATATGACTGTTTACTGCCTAACCTGCACAAATTAATGTATGCTCACAGCCATCAGATAATGCTACAGCACCAGCCCTATAGGCATTTATAACATTAGTAGCCTGTGTAGTTTAGTTATTTAGTGATTTTGATTATTTTTTTTTGTTCTTGGTGGTTTGCTGCTTTGTTTTCTTGCAATAGTTGCAATTTTCCTTGCATAATTCTGTCTTGTTAAAGTTTTTATTTTTTAGACTTGCATTGTGAACAATGTAACTTTTCTAAATGCAGAGTAAAATCCATTGAAATGAATGTGGGGTCTCATCTCTAATGCCGCTTTTCCACTGTCGTACAGGAACCGACCCTCTGTACTCTACTGAATTTTATTGACTCAAAAAAATGCAGTACAGCTGTTTCAAGCGCTTCTCAAATTACAGCATTGTACAAATTAAATTGCTGAACTGTGTATAATTCAAAGATGCTATAATACAGTATAGTATTGTACATAAAACACAGCTTATTGTAGTTTTGCTGCTGAACCTCAGCAGTGTATTGATGAGTATAAATTCACTCATCATTAAAGCCATAAATTTGTCTGCCTGTTTCCACTGAATAAGTGCATGAGAAAATGTTTAGGCTAGAATCTGGGCTTATTATACGTTGATTAGCGGTGCCAATGTGTGTTCGTGCGCTTTGGGACCAGTGTTATCGTAAACGGAAACAAATGGTTACTAAAAAAATATAAACTAAAATGCGAATGAAAAACTATATTTACAAGAAAACGTGTCGGACTTTTAACTGCAAAAAGTATCACCACGCCACAAACGTCTTTTTACCTCTTTAAGAGCTGTCCCTTTCTTCGCCGTAACTTAAGTGCTTATATCGCTTCCATGGTATAACAAAACAGTAGCATGTGGTAAACAATACGCCTCTCATTGATATTTTAAGCTTAAACTATTCTGCTTATCGAAATGTGGGCGTAAATAACTTGCAGTATATTGCCGAAACGCCGGCGTCCATTCTAAAGTCCTGCAGTGACAGTTTGTTGTTGTTAAAATAAAATTAACTTAAATGGGGGGAAATAATTTACATTAATCGACCAATTGGTAAAATAAGCCCGTGTTGTTAACGTGTATTCTACACGTTAAAATTCACGTGTTTTTGACCTGTGGCGTTCCTTAAATTTCAGCCATGTTAACCCACCATAGCTGGTCCCGTTAACACGTTTGTTTGTCACGTCGTCAATATGCTTTCGAATTTCGGGCTCCGTCAACTTTAAATTCACACGGGGTACTGCAAACTCATTTTGGCGGGAAACACAGGTAGTGGTGCCTCAGGTTTTGTTTTGCTGACGTAAGCTCTCAACTAATTTTTTATTATTTCTCGAATTGTTGCAAAAGAAATACTAAATCTAACTCTCAAATTTGAATTCTGGGTCATCGACCTGGAAGTCAAAGGTGGAAGTGACAGACAGCATCAACTGTGTTAGCTTTCAGTTATCATGCCTAGAAATTGTATTAATCATCCATGTTATGTGTGCGGTTCATTCACAATGAAAGCACAACGTCGCCCAATCACTGCAGATCTTAAGAAGATATACAAATTATACTTTGGCTGTCCACCTGGAGACCAGGATAAATCTTGGGCTCCACATGTCATCTGTACCAGTTGTTCAAATGGTCTGCATGACTGGCTAAATCGGCGAAAGGCAGCAATGCCATTTGGAATTTCGATGGTGTGGAGGGAACTGCGAGACCATCTCTGCTACTTTTGCCGCACGAATACAAATGGATTCTCAGCTAAAATTAAGCTCAAAATTGTATATCCCGGCCTAGATTCTGCAATCAGGCCTGTTCCTCATGACGATTCATTGCCTGTTCTTGTACAGCCACATGATGGTCTTGATTCTGTAGAAGGTGATGAGTACGGAGAAGGTGCAGCTGGTTACAATAAAAGCATGATGGCTGACTACTGCTGGATGCTGTACTGTGACAATCCAGACATGGTGTACACAACTCAAAGTGTTTTTGAAGAAACAATGGTGGTTAAACACTTTTCAATTTCTATATGCCCACTGTCTGTTTTATTTGATTTTGCTCTAAAGATATTTTACCCTATACTACAGTAATGCTTTTGTTTTAGTACACAATACTTGCAATTATAGTATTAACTAGCATTACTCATAAATCAAAAAGTTAACTTGACAGAAAAAAACTGAAAACAAATATGGAATCAGCATGAAAAACTGATTTGGAAAAATGGTCTCTGATGATTAAAAAAAAAAGAAGCTTTTTTTGTTGTCCTGTGTAATTAAAAGGCAAGAAAACCACCGAAACAATACAAGGAGACAAATTAAAAAATAAAAAATGAGCATAATCAAAAACAACAGCTTAGCCTCAGGCTGAATGAAATCACAAATAAATGCCCAATTTCAGACTGAAATAAGAGCATCAATAGAATGCACCATGAAGTTAAAACCCAAGGAAAGTGACTGTATAAAAATCAGTTTTCAATCTAGGTTTTAAAGTTTCCAAGCGGTCTGCAGATCTAACACATACATGAAAAACCTGTAATAATATTATTATTATTATTAATTGATACTATATTGATCCCCGTGGGTAAATTGTCTTTACACCTCCCCTAACTTGGGGCGCCGCAACACGTGGCTGCCCTTCGTGACCAGCTTACTCTACAAAGAGCAAGTTGGGGGAACCGTAAAGACAACTTCTCCGTTCTGTCGATGTGGCCAATGTGAAATAGGACGTTCCTGCCTAACTTATATGGAAAGCCATCTAGGCCAAGACGTTTTAGCTCAAATGGTCGCTGCTCATGTAACTCCGATTTTTTTTGTCTAGCAGAAACCTTGCACATCTGCAGGGCCGTGCAGAGACATTTAAAGGGGCGGGTGCTCAAGCACCCTCCGCCCCCCCCCCCCTCTGCACGTGCCTGCACATCTGTGCGCATTGACCGCTTATGTGCGAGATAGTTTTTTGGGTATTTCCAGTAGGTGGCAGCGCTAACTTCCACAGATCAGCTACCAACAACTAAAGAGTAGAGGAAGAATAACTTGTGGTAGTAGTTAAGGTGAGTAGCTGTATGAGGAGGGTCGGAGGTACCCACACGTCTAATTTTTCATACTGTCCAGACATCATACCGAGGTATATGGCATTTCAAAAAGCAGCACTATTCCGAAATTTGAAATCTTGGCAATAAAATTCGCCAAGTGGGGGGAGGCGGTTGGGATCCTGTTTAATTTTGTTGTAAGGATTTTAAATCACTGTTGTTTGCCTTATTACCCTAATTCTGCCAAAGCAATGACTAATAACTTCCTGAAAGTCTACCTGTTTGTATTTGTGTTTGTTGCGACACATCTGCCCTGTGCCCAGTGTTTGCCTTAAAAGGGTGTTGTATCCGTTTTTTTCCCCCCACAGTAACTATATAAAGTACATAAAGTAATCATGTGAATGTAAATAAGTGAGATAAGGATACTAAATAATGGACTAGTTTATCCCGTTCTTAAAGCTTAGGGGATGTGATGTGTGGCTTTTAGCCCTGAAGCATATACTGTAGCATTTACGTGAGGCGGCAGATTTGAATTTGGTTGAGCAAATGTCCGGAGGGCAGAGCGTGGTTTAATGCATTTTCTGGACCACTTTATATTCAAGGTTATCGCTTTGATTGTTTGTTTAGAAATACGTTTCATGGAATTATCCCAACTTTCCCCCATTTTCCACATCCCTGGATACCTACTAAACTTTTATTGATCCCATGGGGAAATTCTCTTCTCACCTACTCCCATCTTGCTCTCTATGACGCACATGTAGGTGAGCGCAAGCTTGGGAGCAAAGGGCAGCCACCTGCAGCAGCCCCCATGAAGCTGGGGGGTTAAGGGCCCCCAGCTCCACCTACAAAATGTCTTGATTACAAGAGCTTCGGGGGGGGGGGGGGGGGGGGGTGAACTCAGGTTTTAGGTAATGTAGATATGCCCCTTGTAGAAAGAATGCATTGAATTTTCTCTGCTGTTACAGTATAACTGCTAGAGGAGGTTACTTTGACGAATCAAAGATATGCTGTTTTATTAAGAAAGGTACTCAAATGGTGAATGTGCTATATATTTATTTGTTAGCCAAGAATATTGAGTATGTTTTGTAAATGTTAAGTGAGCAACATACAAATTTAGAAAATCTCTGTGTGTGCAAAAACTTTTGACTGGTAGTGTACTGTATATATATTTATTTGTTATATTTCGCTTTACAAAGTTAGAAAGTAATGTTTAAGTCAAGCCTGATGTTGCCTTTCACACAATGGAATGAACCCAGTCTCTTCCACACAGTGAGTGATACAGTTTATTAAACATCGGTATTAGATTGGTACTCGGTTGTGGTCGATACCCAACATCGGTATTAGATTGGTACTCGGTTGTGGTCGATACCCAACATCGGTATTAGATTGGTACTCGGTTGTGGTCGATACCCAACACCCAGGTATCACTATCATTGTAGGGACTGAAAAAGTTGGATCATTGTGTGTGTGTGTTAGGTCAAGTCATCACATTTTAGGCATTAAATAAATTATTTTAGGGTGAAACCAGATATTTCCATCTGCCATCATCGTGTGTGTGGAGAGTTAGGAGCGAAAACTGGAGCTCTGAAGCCATCACATGGTCAAAGAATTATGGGATGGCCTTTAATAGTGAAAAAGGTCTGAAGTGAATCAATTAAATTTAAAAATTAACTATAAATTTTTAAAAATTGGAGTCAAATCGACCCCAAACATGAATAGAGCGTGCAGGATTTTAACAGTTCACTAGGGTTTTAATAAAAAAATATATGCCTACAAAACATTTGGTCGACATATCCTTAGTATTTACTTAGAATAACAAGCATTTTTTTTCATTCTAGATGACTTATAATTGTCTAAAGAGTAATACAGACTGACATTAATGTTAATTCTGGTTAATTATCAGATTTGAGATTATAAGATTGGGATTTTTAACGTGCCACATAGCACCTAATGCCTGAAATATTTTAATCTACAAATGATGATTGCATCTGAAGCAACCTGTGATTCCAGCCACGTACAGAGCTACAGAGTTTACAGAGAGGCCATTCTGGGCAAGGAGGCCCCTCAAACGGACTTACATTATTTGATATTTATTTATTTTTCTACCAAGTTTATGTACTGTGTGCTAAATGCAGATATTATAAATGTGCCCTGATATCAGATAATGAAAGCAATCGTAACAGCAATGGTCACCGCTTTACCTACATAAAAAAGATTTCAGAAATATATAGGCTTTTAACTTTAGCAAA